CTGTATATGCTTTAAAATCCTGATGCTTCAGACATGGGATTGTCCAGCAAACCACGTGGAAAATCACTGGAGTCTATATGTTCTATACATAAATGAAGATCTAGATATGATAGTTAAATGTATATATATATATAGTTTTTGTGTACAATATGTGTGCTATATGTTTTTATATATGTTATATTTCAAGAAATAGTTGCAGTTTTTATGTGAACCAAATCCAAATGCTCCATGTAGCTTAGGAAATTTTACCATGATTTAACCCAACAATGACTCGAATAAGAAAAGTATACCGGACATGGAGAATATGGGGTATATATACATATACACACAGTTGTGAACAACTATATCTACAATCTGCATACAAATATACATTATATCTGGGTAAACTATATTTTTTCACTAACCTGAATAGTTCGGCCATAAAAGGGGATCATTTCCCTAACATAAACCATGATTCCAGGGTTCGGGAGAACAGTGAGGTCGTGATGAAATTTACCCAGATCGATCATCAGATCACCATAATATTCCCATTGTTGTTGGTTTATAGCCTATTAACCACTATTAACCATCGCTATTAACCACTATTAACCAAATATGGTAGTTAATATATGTATAATAAATGTATCGCTGAGCACATGATCTGCGACAGAAACGGGACGAGTTCCCTGACGAAATGGTGATGCTGCTCCGATGTTTTTGTTACTGGGTTGAAGGGAAAATCTACAGGAAACATGAGTTTTATGGGTTGATTATTCTATAAATGGGGTGACTTACTGACTTATAACTGGTTTGAAACTTGCAGTAAAACGCCATCAGCCTGCAGTAACTTAGGGGCCAAAGGTGATTTTACTGGGAGGCTACAACGCATGGTTTGCAGCTAAAAATCTGTCCTCAAGGAAGATGTGCAACTATGGAAAATCACCACTTTTAGTAGGTAAGTCAACGAATTAAATGGGCCATGTTCAATAGCCGTGTTAGTTTACCGGAGGGTAAGATAAGTCTTGAAGGATGTTGCCTTGATACCAGCATCAGTGAGGTGGCTCTGAACTCGTTGTGAGTTGCAACACGCTTGGGCATGTCTGAAATGGGGTATACCCCAAGTTATGTCCATTCAAGAAGGAAAATGCTGATTATTCCAAAGATCAAAGTGCTTTTTCCCAGAATTTCAGACAAACCCACATGAATCATCTGAATCTATATTGGTACCCTCTGGTAAATTAACACAACTATGGAAAATCACCAATTTTTAGTGGGTAAATCCACTATAAATGGCAATTTTCAATAGCTATCTTAGTTTACCAGAGGGTAAAATACCCCATCATATCCCATCATATCATGATATCCCCATGGCTGCCTGGACGAGGTGCGGAAATTCTCCAGTTCACCATCCTTTTGCCTCGTCAGCAACTCATGGTGTTTGAAAAAAGATGGGCTTGGGAATTGAGAATGGCTGGGATAGGCTTCTCAGACATACTATCACTGTTTTTCTTGTACTGTGTTTGTTGTACTGTGTGTTGCTCTGAAATGGTTCTATTTCATTTCAAGGCAATATCAGGTATACCCCCCAAGCAAAACAATTTGGGCAGAATACGACCATACTAGGTTCAGTGTATTTTGACATATAATGACTCAGATTTATCACACGTTTGGACTATGTATACCCATATCCATTGAGCGTTGCTGTATTCAGCTGCTTAAACCTGGTTAAACCTGGGGGTTATGGGTCAGAGTAAACTCACAGTCCAATGTTTTGCACATCCACCATTTGTACCCTCTGGTAACATAGCGAACTGGAAAATCACGATCTTTAAGTTCGGTAAATCAACGAACTATAGTAAACGGGCCACGACTTCCATAGCTATTTGGGCATAACCAGAAGGTACCCTCTGGTAAACATACATAGATAGCTATTGAAAATGGCCCAGTCAAAGTTCGTTGATTTACCCATTATATAAAAATTGTAATTTTCTATAGTTATGTCAACGTTTACCAGAGGGTATTCTTAACCATCGACCAACAACCAAACAGACAATGGCTGGATATTTCATGATCTTTCCATCGTTTTTTGTTTAGCATAACCAATGTTACCAGGCCAGGTAGATCATGTTCCCGGGCTTTCCCCATGATTTTCTCCACATCTAAACGCACGACTTTGCCAACCATTCGGATTCCACTTAAGGCAAAAAACCTCCGGGAAAAATGCTGCATCCCCTAGAAATGATAGCTTTTCTTTACTGATTTTAATGGGAATATACAGAAAAATCATGAAAAATCTAGAAGTCTGTGATTTTCCAGCTAGCCATGTTTGCCATGTTTGATTCCCAGAGGGTGTTCTTGATCGCTGATTGGTTGATTGTTGTGACGTCGTTTTAAAAAATGATCAGATTGGATGTGTCCGTATGAAACATCTCTGGTAGCAGGAACATCAATAGGTTGTGGGTCATCTTTGGTCACTCATTCATCCATGGTTTCCTGGCAACTCATTGATCCCCAAGCTTGGATGGTTCATAATAGAAACAACTGACAAAAAGAACCATAGCAAAAGCACTTACCATCTGGTTATTTAACAGTTTGCCATGGAAAATCACCATTTTTTTCATAATAGGTAAACCATCTATTTCTATGCGCCATCTATACCATGGCTATGTCAAATAACCAGAGGGTAAATCCCATTAAAATCTCATTAAACCCCCATTAAATCACCGTTACATAACCAAAATTCACGACCCAAAACGCCGAGCGGCTCAACTGCTCAACCCCCCAAAACGCAAAGCCGCTTCCAAGGAACGCCAGCGCTTGGCTGTTGCCCGCTTTGCCGCATTGGAGCATCAGAGAACTGGACCTCCGAGAGCTGGTTCCAGGGCACAAGAAATGTCTGGCTGCTTCGTAGAAAAGCCATTAATGGTGATACAATGGCAGATATGCTAGGGTCAAGACATGATATATGGATATATATATATACTATATCAAATATATCCTATTATATATATAATATGTATATATATATATAATCATATATATATATATATTATAGATTATACATACATGGTTTATCGTCATCCATCCCATATAGTCCAGACACAATGAATCAATCCCTACTAATTCATTTATGACCATCCCTGCATGGTTGGCCATGATTTCCAGCGTCGTGACCTGCGGTGTTGGTTCCATGTATCTAATATGATTTCCATGATATAGGCATTAAACTAAGATAGCTTTGGACATTTAAGATAGCTATGGAACATGGTGCATCTATGCATGATCTTCGCATCAAAGATGATGATTGTGCATATCATGTGGGTAAATCATATACTGGTTGGTGGTCTTAACCATCGTGAAAAATATGAGTTCGTCAATGGGAATGATTATCCCATATATAATGGAAAAGAAAAGTCATGTTTGAAATCACCAACCAGTTATAGTAGGTTCAAACATCCCAATTCTTGATAAATCATGACGAATCCAACATTTTGATCCTAGCATCCCAAATTTCATGGTTGAATCCAATTCTCTGATGGCTAAATCCACATGTTTGATCGTTTCCCAATTTTCGATGGTTGAATCCCAATTGTTTGGTGGTTGAATCTCACTTTTTTTGGTTAAATTCAAATTTGTGATGGTTAAATGATTCCATTTTCTATGGTCATAATCATGTCATTAATTCTATGCTTGGTGCAGAATCTCCACTTTCTCCGCTCTCAGCACTTGACACATTCATGCCGCTGGACACCTGGGATGAAAGGTGGAAATGGGAACACTATGGGGCGAAGAATGTGGGGAACCATAGATAGATTATATGATGATATAACTATGGTTGTGATAGATGACAATAGATAGTTGATATATGTTCATAGTTAATAAAGTACATAATCTTTACAATGTGGGGCCCCCAAACGCTATGTTTGTTGGTTTTTAACCCCATCTAACTAGTTCATGATAACTACCAGAAACCCTGGTTATTGTAATTATAAACCAACTTAGCCAGGTTAGTGGATTTTCCAGCAAGCCACGTTTGAGGACCGGAAGGTATGCCGGTATGCCCAAGGTTTATGTCAATTCTTGATGTGGACACATGTTGATTAACCACTGGATGGCTTGGGGTACCCTATGTTCAAACACACTTGACCCTCTGGTTATGTCAAAATAGCTTTTTAACATGACCATTTATAGTGGACTTACCCATTGAACATGGTGATTTTCGATCGTTTTTTGTATGTTTACCAAAGGGTATGTTCTTTTTCCGTCAAACATATCGGGTTTCTGATGGCTTCTTCATGGAACATATGGAGCTGCGGCTGAACATACCCCGAGTCATCCGCCGGCCCATTGACAGTCACCCAGATAAACCGATTCACAGTGTATTGGAAAGGAAGGGTCCCCAAAACAGTGATCATTCCAATTATATTCCCAGTTCACAATAGTGATTGTAGTTCCTCCTCTTTTTCGTGGTTGGATCATGATTCGATTTATAATCCCTTTTTAACATAATCACTCTTTGAAAGAAAATATCACCATAGTGGAGGCACCTCCAATAGTTCATCAACTAAATGTTGATCCATCGATTGACTCTGGACAATGCCTAGTCGATCTGCTGGATGATCGGGAGATCAGCAACCACCAGCAGCACCATCCACTAAGTATCCACTATCCACTGGTAAAAGGCCCAGTCATTTAGTCATTTTCAATTGTTTATCAACACCTCCATTATCCTCAGTTACCCTCCGGGAATCAAACTTGGCTAGGGAAATCCAGCTTTAAAAGGGAGACTCAGTGAACAAAACTACTATAAATGAATTAACTGGAAAAATATGCAAAAAAACAACACGATCTGGTTGGTAGTTTCAGTCCCTCTGAAAAATATGAAAGTCAGTTGGGATGATGACATTCCAAACGTATGGAAAAATAAAATTCTGTTCCAAACCACCAACCAGACCATAAATGAAGCTTTATAGCTGGGCAAATCATCGGATGACCCAACAGGATGCTCCAAACTCGCTCCGATTTTTTGACATTCGCTCTGTACCGTCTGTACCGGGTCGACCTGCGGAAGATTGGAGTCGGGGAGTCGGTCATTGGGATAGAAATGCTACAACAGCAAAATAAAAAATACTACTTCAATAATCTTGAATATTTAATGATGATCATAGATGTTGGAATTATCATTTATAAGATAACTAGTTAGATGTTAGAATTATCATGATGATCATTATCTAAAATTACATTATGATGAGAATCGCATCCCATCTGATAGGCACTCTAGATAAACTCGTTGCGCTCAAGCAGCACAAGTCTGAAATTGTTGATCCATATTATGCTGAAGGAGATTGGCCCCTTTACCAGTTATAAATGGAAAGCAGCTCCTAAAGTTAATGTTAGTTATATCATCTTATATCCTGTTATATCATTATAAGCCCATTTATAACTGTTAAGGGCCATAACTGTTGGAACACGCCAACGCCGAACATGATCGGCTGTCAGCTTGGATCATGTGTATCTCAGTATGTCAGTGGCTATGTCATGATCAAGTTTCAGCAACCTGAAAAAAGATAAATTGGGGTAGGTTAGTATTTTATTCCAAATGGCTATGTATCTATTCCAATCCCATATAATATCATGTGTATCCCATTGTATTTCCATTATATTCTCATCCTATCCCTATCCAACATGAATTAGTTTTCAAGGGTAGTTCCCCCAATTCGCAGCATTGTGACATGGTGGCGAGCCCTGGTCGTTGGTTTACACCTATGGTTACGCACAGACCCCGTGGTTTGCCCGCGGACAGAATAGCGCAAGAACCATTAAGAAGCAACGGATTTCAAACGAGCTTAAACAAAAGAGATGAAAATGCGTTGACGAAGTGGGCATGGCATTCCGGCTTGGAAAGAGAACTGTACCGCCAATTAGGGTTCATTTGGGGTTTACACAAAGCATAAAATATACCACCCCCATAGACAAATTAAACATACCCAAATCATTTGCAGCATAAAACATATACCATCAAATACCTCAGAACCTCATTGTTTGATGATCATTTTCCAATACGAAAAAGCACTCCAAAACAATATATATATTATAATATATTAAATTACATTATATTATATCATATTAGAATATATTATATTAAATTTCATATTATATTATATTATATATTATGTTATATATATATATATATCATATAATATTATATTATATTATGTTATACATCATATTATATTATATTATATTATATTAAAATATTTTATTATATTATACCATATTATATTATATGATATTTTAAAATATTATTTTATCTTATATTGTAAGAAAATTACATTAAATTATATATCATATATTACATTACATTATATTATATTATATTAAAATATTTTATTATATTATACCATATTATATTATGAGATATTTTATTATATTATTTTATTTTATATTGTATGAAAATTAAATTAAATTATTTTATATCATATATTGCATTACATTATATTATATTAGATTATTTTATTTTATATTAAATATTATGTTATATCAGATTGTTATATATACGTATATATATATAATATTAAATTACATATATATAATATAATATAATATTATATTAAATTATACTATCTTATCTTGTATTAAATATTAATTAATATATATATATAGAGAATAAGTATTTAAGGGTCATATAAGGGGTAAAACATTCTAAAACCACCAGAACGAAGCCCTTGCTGCCTCATTCCTGTGCAGCATCGTAGACGTAGACCCCAAAATCCTCGGAGACGGGCAAATGCGTATGGTCACCGTAGAGCACTTCCACGATGGGAGGTCCTAAATGGCAAGGCTTGGAACATGGAGAATTGACCAAGAAATTGAGGAGAATCTGTTATATGGGAAAGAAAAGGGACCGAATGATAATAATATGTATATATATATATTGCACAATGCTTTTTTTGTTTGTTTTTTGGGGGTCTGAAAATCCCCGAAAATTATGGCAATGTTGATAGGAGAAAACATGAACAATGATGATTAACCAATAGATTTAGGGGGAGCGAAATGTTGGCAAACATTTCTAATGTGTTTGCTGACACCTATCCTATCCCTATCCTATTGTATGTCCCTATCAACGGATTTGGGATTGAAGGATAGGTGGATTATTAGTTCAATGATTAGTTCAACGATAAAACATGGGACTGGATGGTGGTGCAATAACCATCTTGACACAAAAACAAAACAAAACCAATGACTGGTTGGTGGTGCAATAACCATCTTGAAAAATATGAGTTCGTCAATGGGAAGGATTATCCCATATATTGTGGAAAATAAGAAATGTTTTAAACCAACAACTAGATGAGGATGATGGTATATGATTGTGATGGTGGCGGTGATTACAATGACAGCGACATTGACGAGGACGATAACGTTGCCGATCATCATGACGATGATAGTGACAGTGGCAATGACCATGACGACGACGATAATAATGATGATGCAGGTAAAACGATAACATCTTGTAGCAAAGTGGGCAATACATTAGTAAACGATCCCCCAAATCACCATAGGTGGTATACATAAACCCTATTGGTGTTTTACCCATATCAAATGTTTATGAAACTGCGAATTGCCAACACAGGTGGGAGATAAACCAAGAATGATGCAAATCACCAACCAAGCCTGGGATGTTACCTTTCTGGCTGAAAAGTTATCTATTAATCAGCCTCATTTTTTCCGACAAACAACGCCATTAGCACAGGGTACATTGAATTGCAAACAGCCGCAAGATGCAAGTTTGGATAAGTGACTTAGTAGCAGGGAAAAATCATTGAATGCCATGATTCAGCCAGATAATTATTACATATGTATACATTTGTTTAGGCTATATATCACATTCTATCCCAACACATCGCCATAAAATATTTGGTTTCATCCCCGCATATCCCATTCAGAGGATTCGATGCTATGTGAACGTGCCTAAAAAAGGGTGGAACATCTACCATTCATTGATCATTTCCTAAACCCATAGATTGTCATAGATTTCTCTAGATAGCTAAACGTTTACTGGGGACTTTTTTAAGCCTCATTTTCTTTAGCCTCTAATAACTCCAATAAACCAATTCTTATTGAGGGGGTCACCCGTTGAAAAATCAGGGAAACGGGCTCTGCCCCATCCGACAGCGAATGATTCTGTCCCAGTGATGAGTTGGTTCATGGTTTACAAACACATCCCCTCTGGTAAATTGTTACATAGCGAGCTGGAAAATCACCATCTTTAATAGGCAAATCATGGTAAATCAACTACTTCTTTGGGCCATTTTCAATAGCTATGTTAAATTACCATAGGGTAGAGAATATATATATATATATACACAATTATATACAAACATATCCCATTTATTATAAACCTAATGCACCATATATTATGTATATATCATATATCACATGTATAAACCACAGGCAAGCTTAATCTATAGTTATAAAGCACACTGACCAAAGGGGCCCCTTTCTGTAGACATTCTTTTGAGATTGAGAATCCTGGGTTCCACATAGGAGCAAAAGCGCATCCAAAACAAATCGCCAAGTTGTCCACTGCGTATTTGTCCTTTTCGGGGCAACCACTCCGTTTTGCAAGACAAGGATCGACTCTCCCAAAAAATGTGGCCACAGGGATATTTCAAATTGATATGGCCATCATCGTTCCTGAACAGCACTGGAGACTGGGAATTTGGTAGCAATGTATGATTGGGATTGATTGGGATTGTGCATCTTTACACGACCCTCTGGTCAACATACAAAAAACTATGGACAATCACCATTTTTCATGGGAAAACTCACTATTTCAATGGCCATTTTCCGGTTTACAAACAGTTGACATGACCAGAGGGTATAGCCTCCAAAGAAATTGAGTGCTGACATTGGACTCAAATATTGATCCGTTGGTTCATCCACATTTTTTCTGTTACACCTGGCAAATCAACAGTAAACGATCCTGTTTTTAAAGCCATTCCACTAGTGGTTTCACTAATCTTCCAACCCCAAAAAAAATTGCTGGAGACTTAAATCAGGTTAAATCTCCAACTCCAGTTGTGCAGTGTGAGCTCTAAACCCCGAAATGTCATTCCATGAAATACTGGTTGGTTAAGAACGGGATTCCCCGTTCTTGGATTACTCTAACCAGTATATTGGGTAGTTGTTTATCCCCGAACTAATCGGGTTTTGAACAGTGCTCAGTTGGCTTCCATTTGAAATGCACCGCAGCTCGGAAAAACGCATCGACAACAGTGTGTCCTTATCGGAACAGAATCGAACTAACTGAACTATGGTTCCTAACCCCATTAGTTCATAATATACTTAAAAATGGGAATGAAACATTGGATAATGGGATAGTATATGGATAATATACTAAATATTAGTTCCACTATATTATGGATAATAATATACTGTATTGACTATATATATCATGGGCTCAAAAATGGGATAATATATACTAAATATGAGTTCAAAAATTAATGGCATAATGAAGGATAGTAGATAGGTATTAGTCTATTATGCATTATTCCAGTAATTATAAACAAGTTGATATAGTGAGATAATATCTATCATTAGTTCATAAACTATAATTCATACTATATCATAGTTCATACCATTTAATCCCAAATTTTATCCGTTGTCTTAAACAAATCACTATACCCAAAAACGATAGATATTTTCCCATTTATAATCTATATATCATACTATAGCATACTAAAGTACCAGAATCATATTCCATAAAGATCCATAAAGTACATTTAAGTACATTTATCATAAAGTACTATAGTACTATATCATACTATATCATACTAAAGTACTATATCATAAAGTACTAAATCATTTATATGGGGAATGGTCAATATCATACTATATCTTTCATGAAATTCCACCATTCCCCATTCCAGTTAATTTGGCCTCGGTGGGATGACCGCGGGCGAAGTTATGCAAGGAAGCCAAGGGTTGACGCCGTTGATCACTTAGTAAACCCTTGGTTTATGGTGACTTCACCAACATAAATGATGATTTTATGGTGATTTAACCAACAAAGCTGAGGATTTGCAGCTGGGATCTGTGTTGCTGATTTATGATAGCTAAGTTGACAAACATAACTCGATTCACTATGGTTTCTGGGTTCATTAGTGGGATAGACCTAACTAACAGACCTCACCTTGTATGTGTGGAAATCATTTACACGAAGTTATACATGTTTCATCATGTTTCACAATTGCAGAGTGTATACTGGTTGGTAGTTGAGCCACCCCTCTGAAAAATATGACTTCGTCAGTTGGGATTATTATTCCCAATATATGGAAAAATAAAAAATGTTCCAAACCACCAAGCAGTATATATCATTATATATCCATCTATTGCTGGGTTTAGCTTCATTAGTCTTGCTCCTATCCATCTTTCTTTTCCCAACCAGACTCTAGCTAAGCCTGATCCTTGATCTTGACAACTCCTCCAACGGCCCAACAGGTTTAGTGGTATCCTTTATCTATTCAATCTATTGGAGGGTTACCCTCTGGTTATTTAACATAGCCATGGAAAATGGCCCATTTATAGATGGTTTACCTGGGTTTACCGATTAATGGCATGGTGATCTTCCATGGCAAACTGTTAGTCATAACCAGATGGTAAATGAATTTATAATGGAATATGAGATTATATGTATTAGTAGTGTCTTTTATCTATTCAATCTATTGGAGGGTTACATCTTCATCGCAAACATCTACAGTTTCAGTTGTGATGTGCTCATCCCTTCGGTTGACTCCGGTTCAATCCAGACTCACCACATTCTTCAGCCAGTCGTTGAAGTGTTGGTCGTCACACAGAAGACCCAAACAAATCCAGATGGTGTTCTCTTCGCCTCAGGGGGGTTAAAAACTGAGAAATCTTGGGATTAAAAAGAGGGCTGACGTAATTAGTCAGAGTCAATAATGGGTATATGTATATATATATATGTATATGCTTATATAAACAGGCTCCACAAATTTCAAATTTGGAAACCTACCAGTCTTAGGTGACAATTTTTTTCTTGGAGTTTCGAAAAAGGCTTCTCTCCTCAATCCATCGCCCGAGTTTGTCATCTTAGGTTTTGCCAAGTTCTCCGATCGAGGAATATTTTGTGGCCATTATTTCGGGGATGATCACCCAATTGACACACCCATGTATTATATCTGATTGGTGGTTTCAACCCCTCTGAAAAATATTAGCCAGTTAGGATTACTATTCCCAATGTATGGAAAAATAAATATGTTCGAAACCACCAACCAATATCATATTCATTCATATGCAGTATCCCAATATTAATCCAATCTGATTGACCAATGTATGTTGGTTAAATCACCATGATCACCCATGTATACATAAATCCAATCTGATTGACTGATTGTATCACCATAGTCTACCATGATTTTTCGTTGTTGCACGCAAAAATATCAATGGAATTTGGAACGTCAACAGAAACACAATGTGTGAGCTATCATTCCCCAGTCATTGTGGATGTCCCGTTTGGAAAATAAGCCAAATCAGCAAACCCAGCTACATAATTAGTCAGTCAATTGGGTGGTATAATGACTCCCTTTATATCTTTATAACCAATCAACCAGGTATTCTCAATGGTTCAATTGTCCACATAATCTTCTCGCAAAACTAAACTCTGATGGTCACTGTAGCCCAGACAAAACATAACCTTTTTCATTGGCATTAAAACATATTTCATATGTTGCAACTATAGTTGGTCAAATTTCCATATATCCACCATTTTTCATGCTTTAATAACCAGAAATCCACCCATTTTCATGGCCAAATGCGGAATTTCATTACAATTTCCCTGTGTTCTTCAGCCATCCACCCCACGCCCGCCGTCCCAGCGACGATAGTCCATGGCAATTTGTGCCCCACAGCCGGTGCAGAAGAGGCGTTTGGCCAGAGCAGTGGGTTCCCATTCGCGCAAGGTGGCCTCGTGACATCTCGCGATGTGGTGACTGAAGATTTCTGGATGATTCTGCAGCAAAATCTGCAGAATTTTACCAAACAACATGGGGATTCACCAAAGATAAACATGGAGTTTGAACATTTGTTTATGATAGGTAACCTGGTTTATTTTGCCTCGGCTGTTGGATTTATGATGGATATATTGAACATCTCTCCGAAAACCACGATTGCAGGATTTGTTGGGATGGTTTATGATCATCCATTGATCATCTGTTAATCATCTATGAATTATACCATCTATGGTGATTTGGGGAATGGTATTATAAACCATAGATAATTAACACATGATATTGGGGAAGGATTTTTTTCTGTGGTTTATACCATCTATTATCATCGATTTATGGTTATTTGGGGGATACCCAAATAGATGATAATATATTCTTTACTACTATGATAAACAGTATACCATCTATGGTTTCTGATTGTATACCATCTATGATGGTTTAAATGCAAATAATATCATAATTTGGGGGATGATTATTCATCCATTTATGGTGTGGATATTCCATCTATTTATGCTAATCATGACAATTACGATATAATAGAAATATTCATCATCTATGAATCATCATCCATTAAATGCAACCTATTTATGGTGATTTGTTGGATGGTTAAAGATCTATGTATACTTTATATTTATGGTTTATACTAACTATTAATCATCAGTTAGTTAATCATCTATGGTTTATACCATCTATTTTCATCTATTTTTAATGATTTGGGGGATGGTATAAACCATAAATAATTGACACATGATCTTGGGGAAGGGATATATGTGGTTTATATCGTCTATTATCCTCTATGGTGATTTGGGGGATACCCAAATCACCATAGATGATAAAATATGGTATATCATTGTATATGACAAACAGTATACCCTCTATGGTTTATCCATGTTGATACCATCTATTTATGCTAATCATCTATTCTAATTGGTGGTTTCAACCCCTCTGAAAAATATGACTTGGTCAGTCGGGATGATTCGTCCCAATATATTATGGAAAAACATGTTCCAAACCACCAACCAGATAATGTTTGTTTGTTTGTTTGTTTGATTGTTTGTTTGTTTGTTTGATTGATTGTTTGATTGTTTGTTTGTTTTTTTTTGCGGAAATCATGGTATAATCATTTACACTCCACTATTTCGATTTATTCCTGCTAATCATCAAATATTGGTTGGTATTAAACCATTCCCAAATGGGTGGTTTATTATCGTTTTCACCACATCATTCTTAGTTTTCTATCCAACATTATCCAGATTCTATCCCACTCGCTATATCCCATGAACTCCCCAGTTATTCTGTTCCATGGTTCCAAAACCACCAACCAGATCTATATTCATCATCTATTAATCATCTATTGTCCATTACATGCTAATCATCTATTCTTCTGTTCCCCAAATTCTTCGCCCTGTCGCCCCTCGTTCCGCGGATCACCTCCTCTGTAAAGGTCACCGACTTCCGCGGCAGCGCCAGGAACGGCAGCTGCACGGCCCCCGTGACCTTGCGGCACCTTCGACACCGGCCATGGCAGTTCAGCCGTGGAAAATGTGGGGTTTCCATGGGAAAACCATGGAATAAAACATGGAAAAACCATGAACAAAACATGGAAAACCATGAAAATCTATGAAAAACAATGGACAAACTATGGAAAAACAGATTTCATAGCCACCAGACCAAATAGATAAAAGATGATAGAAGACTATGAAAATACGACAAAAATTCGGGATCAATTACTTTTGGATCTATTTGGGGGATTTTTTGTTCATCGTCAAAAGCAGTGAAAAAGTGTCAAAAACCAATGATTTAAGCAGAAAACATGGTGCTTCAACCATTCAACCAGCCAATTTTTTGTGTCATAATTAAAAAATATCGGTTTAACATGGTTTAACGGTTTGTCCAACAAAGATCGTAGTAAAAACCCATGTAACATGGAGATTTCACCATGGGAAAAACTGGAGCGTCACCAATGAAAACTTTGGGTCAAAAGTAATCAACACAACAAGGGATATGGACATTCTTATCTCGGGAATTCACAGTGATTCATGGGAAAATGTAGCAAACCCATTTTTAAATAGATGCTTAACCTTGATACTTGAATGTTGGGACTGAATCAATAGACATGTTGCTTGACGAAAAATCAGGTTGACTTTCCATTGTCAATGCTAACTGGAAACCATGTTTTTTTTTCACATGTTTTTACCATCAATTTAAAGGGTGTCCTTCAACTTATTCCCTCAATTCTAAGATTATAATTACCTGGTTTTTCATGATTATGGGGTGCCTTTCCAGCTATAAGTAGGTCTCTACCATAAACCCTAGTTATATGACACACAAACCAACTTTGCAAACGATGGGGCACCACGTATGATTATCACTGGGCTAATACCCTCTGGCAATTTAACATAGCTATTGAACATGGCCTATTTATCGAAGGAAGTTTAGAAGTCAAACTTCCGACAATATGGACAGATGAAAAGCAGAGATGGGAAGAGTCAGAGAAGAGAAGAGAAGAGAAGAGAAGAAGAAAGAAGATCACAAAAGAGAAAGCCTCAGAAGAAAGAAGATCCAGGTGCGCGAAAAGGTAAGAAAGTCGCGAAACATTGCGTTTTTCCAATGATTTGTGGCTCCGGAGGGTCGAAAAGTAGGCTCGCTAAAGCGGCGGGTGCGGAGACATCTGGCCAGATGAGAGATGAAAAATTGCACGCCGTTGTGGCGCGAAGCACATTTCGAAAACAAAATGTTAAAAACACCACATGCTCGGACCACTTTTGGAAGTTGAGATGTCAGAAAAAGTGCACGCCGTTGTGGCGCGAAGCACATTTCGAAGTCAAAATGTACAAAACACACCAGCTCCGGACCACTTTTGGAAGTTGCGATGTCGAAAAAGTGCACGCCGTTGTGGCGCGAAGCACATATCCAAGTCAAAATGTACAAAACACACCACGTTCGGACCACTTTTGGAAGTTGAGATGTCGAAAAAGTGCACGCCGTTGTGGCGCGAAGCACATATCCAAGTCAAAATGTACAAAACACACCACGTTCGGACCACTTTTGGAAGTTGAGATGTCGAAAAAGTGCACGCCGTTGTGGCGCTAAGCACATTTCCAAGTCAGAATGTACAAAACACTAGGGGTGCGGACCACTTTTTTACGTTCAGATGTTGTTTCGCGTGGCAAGCGCAAGGGATTGTGCACCTTGTCAAATGTGAGCAAAACTTGAGGGTTTTGTAACATTTTCAACTACAACCACCACTACACCACACTACACTACACTACACTACAACTACACCTTCACTACATTCCACTGCACTACAGTACATTACACTCCACTACACTCCACTACACTACACTCAATTACACTCAATTACATTCAATTACACTACACTACACTACGCTACATTCCACTACACTACACTACATTCGACTACACTACACTACATTACACTACACTGCACTCCACTACACTACACTACACTAATTGCATTACACTACACTACACTACACCACACTACACCACACCACACCACACTAAACTCAATTACACTACACTACACTACCCTACCCCACATTGCATTACATTACATTACATTGCATTGCAGTACACTCATTACACCACCAAAAAATGCAACTGCAACTACACTACACTAACTACACTACACCATAACTACAACTCCACTACACTACAACTACAGCTGCAACTGCAACTGCGGCTACACTACACTACATTACACTAATGACATTACACTACACTACACTACACTACATTACACTACATCACACCAACTACAACTACAACTACAACTACATAAGACTACAACTACATAAGACTACAACTACATAAGACTACACTAAACTACACTGCACTACACTACACTACACCCCACTACACGACACGACACTACACTACATTCGACTACACTACACTACATTACACTACACTGCACTCCACTACACTACACTAATTGCATTACACTACACTACACTCCACTACACTACAGTACACTACACTTAATTACATTACACTACACTACGCTACACTACGCTACCCTACACCACGCGACACTGCACTACACAACACTACACTACAACTACAACCACAACTACAACTACCAGTAGTACCGCACAAGGCGGTGGCGGAAGTTTCAAAAATAGGAAACCTATAGACCTGTAGGAGACATTGGTTGTTGTGAATCACGGATGGCAGAGCGAATCCACTGATGGACTGAAAGGTGGTTGGAGCTGTGTTTTTGGAGTGCCTGCAATGGTTGCAGTGGTCACCTGGTCGGTCACCAAAATGGTGTTATAACGGTTACCCCCCCAAATCATCCACTTTTTTTCTGGATTTTCCATTACAAACCTACCATTCTATCAATGGGAATTTCAGGATCCTAAAATGAAGCTACTGTACCATACAAGGCCATATTTTGTGGGGATATTCCCTGAAATTAAGGCCTTATATAGGCCTTATATATGGTAGGTACCTCCAATAAATCGGTTCCTGAAATGGCCATTGATTCTAGGGATATTTAGGGAAGACCCAAGCTGAGACTGGGCTGAATCTCGATAGGCCAGGGCGGACCAGGCACGCAGCGCAGTTGCACACTGTGAGCTGTGGAATGCCTGAGGCATGAACACTTCCTATGGTCAAGTTACATAGGATGAATGAGGGATTAAACCAGCAAGACATGGGATATGTATGATATATATAATGTGGATCTATAATATGACTGTTATATAACTCAACATGTAGCTGATAAATTCAGCTCTAGTTGAACACAGTCATATAATATGGGCGAATGTGTATATATATATAAACACACATCTACTGGTGAGGTATCAGGGTTGCTACCAGCACAAAAACAGAAACATGCACACTTACATGAGCAGCTACATTAAAGTCATTGGGTTGTCACATGGATAAATGTCACGTACTCGGAACATGGTATGACCCAAGGGACCAAAGAGTTTGTCGTTTTTTTATGCATTTTGTTTAACACATCCCAATTTTGGTTCTCACTTTTGACCCAGAGCCAAATGGATTAAGTGAATGGACGCATCTTTCTAGATAATGGGAAAACAAAAAACAAATCTGATTCTATGGCTTTGTTGAAAAATAGGTTTCCCGAACATTCAAGGCTTCCAAGGCTTTCTATATCATCTTCCCCACTGACATGGGCATAGTTTGTCTTGGACACACCCAGCTTGGACGGCTTCAGCGGCTTAAATTCACTGGCTGTGGGTCTAGCGAGATCAACTTTCGATCCATTCAACAAGATTCCTGGCTTTGGAAAATATATAGGGTACCCTCTGGTAAACATACAAAAAGCTATTGAAAATGGTCATTTATAGTGAATTTACCCATTGAAAATTGTGATTTTCCATAGTTTTTTGTATGTTTACCAGAGGGGATCCCAGCATTTCCTGGTTTGTCATCATATTCCTTACTAATGCATATTAAAGTGACCATACATGGGGTATACTCTATGTCGAGACATACCAATCTATCATATTGTTGGTCATGTAACCTCATGGGGTATACCAACATAGATAGGTAACTTAATGATTTTATGGGATTTTAAAGTGATCATAAATGGGGTATACCATCATGTAACCCATTATATACCCAATTAAAAATCACTGGCTAAGATCCCATGATATGAAGCATACCGTGGCGTATTCCCCATTGTTTTTTTGGCCATGATACGACCCATTTGTATAGATACCCTCTGGTTATGTCAATCGTTTGCTATGGAAAATGACCATAGAAATAGTGGATTTACCCATTGAAAATGGTGGATCAATGGTGATCTTTCCAGTTTTTTGTATGTAAAAACCAGAGGGTATCTATACAAATCATGAACAACTATAAATATATTATATAGTATAAAACTATTCACATGGAGTATCAACAGGATAGATATGGGCACGTGAAATCCCAATTCAATACCCCATTGTATCCCAATCAAATGTTATATATTCGATTCTATCTATCTCAGTACATGCCAGTATATCCCAGGATGTTCCAATTAAACATACCATTAAATCTATCTGGTACAATTACATCTAAATAAATACCATTAAAGATATCATTAAATGCGACACTCCCCCTTTTTATGCGCCATGCAGTTCGGAAAAAAATCAGAAAACATGATGTGTCCATTAAATATACCGTTAAATATACCACTAAATATACCATTAAACAAATCATCATACCATCTGATTGTATTATGAATGGGGCATTAAATAAGGTTATAAACAACCCAGTTACAGTTATGGCCCTAAACAGTTTTAATTTGATTAATCATATGATGTATATATAGCCTTATCTATAGTAGTTAAAGTAGTTATACAACTTGAGTACTTATAACCTCAGTTAAACTGAGTTGGGCCAAACGTGTATAGCAAACTTTGAGATTTTCGGCACCTTTGCGCAAATCCGCTTCAAATTGAACGCCGCCACATCCGCCTGGCCGGCGCCAGGTTTCAGAACGTTTTCGTTTAGGGCTTTGTCAAAGGGTACGTCAAGCAGCGAACAGTTGGAAAAAACAACTTTTATGATATTCCAACTATCATGGGGGTATTATAATCAGATAAAGGCATAAAGAGGAAGTTGATAATGTACAAATGATCAACTTTCAAAATAATGGGAGAATTGTTATCTGATAAAAGATGATATAACTGTATATCAACTTTGAACAGCAAAGTGGGAGTATTATATAAACTATATCCGCAGTTTCATCTCCTTTAGATATCGAGGGGGTGCGTCAGAAAATGGTGCATATCCTGGTGAAATCTATATTGGTATTCCCACAAAATATCCCACAAATCACCATTGTTGTTGGTTAAATCAACATGTTTGCAAGTTAAGTCACCATATATAAATACATATCTAAAAAAAAAATATATATATAAATACATGTATATATATATGTATATATATATACATAGTTATAACTATATTTAAATTATTATTTCAGATGCCACTATATCCCCTTCAGGGGGTAAGCCTCCGCTTTTGCCACTTTTGAACCCATTGAATGCTCATGAAAAATCATCATTAAGCATCAATGGATCGTTGAATTTCCATCCCATCTATTCTGGGCAAAATATAGTCATTCAGTCTGAAACTTGCGGCCATGTTGGGATGATTCCCCTTATTAACCATGATTCCAGGCTTCGGGAGAACAGGGTTCGGTCGTATTGCCCAGATCTATTCACCAAGCCACACTGCGCCAGCACTACATTCTTCGACATCGTCGACGCCCATCGCTGTACCATGGGCACCATGGCCGTCGCCGGGCGGCGCAGAAAGCTCTTCATCGATGCTTGGATCAAAACCCGGGGACGAAAAAAGGTACTCCATCAAAGCCCATTATGATACAATGATTGAATGGCAAATGGTCATTTACATTTTGATGGTAATACAATCTTCATTAATCAACGTCCATCTTCCCCATAATATGTTTTGTCATACGAATTTGTATTCAATGTATTTTCATGTACGTGTGTGTGTATATATATACATATGCACACACGTTGTGTAATTATTGCATGTTCCATTTTTCCGTTCCATATATATATATACATATATTGCATTGGAAATGTTCCGAAAATACACATGTATAACTAGTCTACATATTTCATGCAAGCTTACATGGCCGAGAAACACAAGCGACTCATCCTCTTTGAGCCTTCAAACATCAAGGTTAACCCCTCGGTTTTGCGGAATGTTGCGGCCAATTGGTTTGACCTAGCAGCCACCACAGAAGCCAGCTTGTCAGATTGCTTGATCATCCATTCTTGCTGCTTTTAACTCCTATTTATGATAGTAAACCCAGCAAATATCAGCATTCTTGTTGCTCATGATTGTATCCCAGTTGTTTCCACCTTTTTCTGTTAGCGGGATTATTGTTGGCTGCATTCCATATAGCACTAAACCTGTCTGTTTGACATCCACATAAATCACGAGTTCGACTGTCATATCCCCATTTTTGTCGTATCTCAACTTGTGCTGCTTAAGCTCCACCAAATATCATCAGATACTGTTGCGAAATCTGATACCAGTGGGTAGATGGAAATCATAATCCATTATAATCCCATTCCGTACCAACTGTTACCAACAAATCATGGGATAATGGGATGAACAATGGGATAAACAATGGTTTATCATGGTTTGTCCCATTATAATCTCATATAATGTCAACCCCGGATTAATCAACCATGGTTTATTAATTAGGGAATTACTCCTCCAATAGTCACAATCCAATAGTTAAATGGTACCCCCCAATTCAACAGCCTAAGGGTTTAATAATCCAGGGTTGACATTAATCCCATCATGGACCATGGTTCAACAAAAAAGGCACGATGCCCCCCTCCGTCCAAGGCGCGACGCAATAGGCCAAGACAGCAGCCAAGGTGGCCAGCAAAGTCATCACCAGCAAGGCAAAGCGCAGCCTGGGATGTGGCTGGAAACCGAGTTTAAAGAAAGCTTGGAAATGGATTTTTGGTCATAGAAATAGTTAAACTTAGAATCATATATATATATAATATGGATTAAATTGATTTTTGTTCATGGAACTAGTTGAACTAAGATTCATATCATAACTCTGAAATTCCAGCCTTGTTCCTGCGATACCCTGGGGTAAACATACAGAAAGATGTGGGAAACCCATGGAGAAAGCCGTTCGCACATGATCTAGATTCATGATGGCTTTTCCACATCTTTTTCTATGTTTGCAGGAGGCTAGTGTAAAGCAATACAGCTAGGGTTTATGGTATATCTATCACTTCCTGGGTTCTGAGACTGAATGGAATAAGACTACCAAAAATGGGGGTTTCCGTAAATGGGGGGGTCCCCAAAATGCTCGGTTTATAATGGAAAATCCGATCTAGAAATGGATGATTTAGGGGTACCCCCATTTCAGAAAACCTCCATATATTTAAATGGCTTACTGTACCTACAATGTGGGGCCCAGTGATGTTAGTTGGTTCATAAACCCCATTAACTGTAGTTATATAAGTAACAATAAACCGTACTTAGCACTAACTATAGGTGTAGTATAACCCATTAACTGTAGTATAACCCCATCTATTAACTGTTACTTAGCCATCCAACTTTGGTTTATACTCCAATAACATAGATGTGGAAAAAGTTCATGAGCAAATGCTGCAGTTTTCATGGCTTTTCCAGAGCTTCCTATATGCTTTTTTACCCTAGGCTATTTCATGTTATCTCATTGGGGTTCCATGTTGTATCAATGTCCGGAGGGTATGGGATTTACATGGATTTACACCCCCGTCTACCGACTCATTGAAGAATGCGCTGGCCCTCGGCCTATCAGGCTGGCCGCCTTTCATGTCAACGTAGAAGATGACCTGCACGATGACATTGAGCTGCGGGAGTCTCACTCTGTCCCTCGTGCCTGTCATATAGCGCTCAGGCAGGGTAGGAGTGCCCCTCAGGGACTCGCACTTCACGGCGAAGCAGCCGCCTGTGCAGCCCCTGACTCCATCGCTGATGTCGAATAGGCCATCCCCAGAGCTACCTGCCCCGGACAGGATGTCATCACCTTCGAAGCCTACCGGTGGACTACTAAACTCTGACAATTGACGAGTATTGGTTGTGATATCAGAGTTATTTCCAGCCAGTTATAATAAAATAATAATATATATATAGTATACTACAATAAAATATAATATTGTATAATATATGATAATAAAAAACAGAATAAGAATATAGTAGTTTTCTATATAATACATTGTAATGAACTACACATAACTATAATATATTATTTACTATAACTATATAATTACCAGAGGTTTTTTTTCCACTGAGACCTCCATATCTTGGTGAAAATCGCCAATTTACCTATAAATACCATCTGGTTATGACTAACATAGCCATGGTATAGATGGCCCATAGAAATAGAGGTTTACCTATTAATAGCATGGTGATTTTCCATGGTTATGTTAAATAACCAGATGGTACGTGGTATGTTTACCATTCCCAGTCATGAGTGGTTCATGACATTGTTTAAACCACATCAACATACATTAACTATAATATACTCATCAACCAACAGGGGTAGATCGCAGCTGCATCCTTGCCGCCAGGCCGCGTCTTTACAGAACATCTGCAGGAGCTTTCCTGGGAATAAAAACAATGAAAACAAACCTGGTTGGTGGTTTCAACCCCTCTGAAAAATATGAAAGTCAATGGGAAGGATTATCCCATGATCCCATGTATTATGGAAAATGCAAAAAGTTCCAAGCCACCAGCCAGCTAAAATCCACTTATCATAGTTGCCGTTAATATAAGAACAAGAAATCTGCATCCTTTTGAGATGCTGTTACTATGAGATCAAGAAAACAACTCCGACGACCGGGCACTCTGATCACAATGGCTAAACTTTGAAGGTCAACGTGCTCGTTTACCGTAACTAGATGTAACTAGTACATATGAATCTTGATGTTTAATGGTGATGTTTTCATATGTTTTCCATCAACAATTGCTGTCTTATGGTTTTTTAATCATTCATCTTCATCCATTTTCACTCTGGGTGGTTTGAACCCATCCCAGAAATATGTTCGTAAATTTCAACCAATCATCAAGATTTATATGGTTGAACAACTATACATCTATCGAAACCACCCGCCACAAAAACAACTCAGGAGCCAATCATGACCCTGTTTTTGCACATACTAACCCTACAGTTCGTTTTGGCACGGAAACACAAAAAACGCTTTTTCCCCCAAAATACCGCCTCTTGAACTGCAGATCGTCCGCCGAGCGCTTTGTGAAGCTCCTGGCTTTCCGAAAAAGGTCGCAACCAAGATAGCTAAGTTGGTTTATAACCACAAAAACTATGCTTTATCGTAGTTATAACGAACTAGTTAGATGGGGTTACAAGCCAACTTAGCTATCTAGGGGGCCCCACATTGTAGAATTTACATGTTCGTTGGCAGTATGATGTTAATGACACATCCACCATTTATGGTTGAAGTATCTTTGGACCCGGGAAAGTTCCTGTTGCCAGAATGTGAGGGTGTGCTGGGCATCTAAACGCGATCAGGAGACAACTACAAAAACGGGCGGGCCCCTAGCAGCAGCTACATACAGAATTGTTAAATGACAGATTGAATGCATCGAAATTACTGATTCGCTCCAAATTCATACCTGGGTTTTTGCCGATGTTTCCCGAAATTGGATGAAATTGGGGGATACCCCAAACTTCACCACTGGATTCCCTTTTTTTCACTATTTCACATTTTTTCACAGTTGGATAATTTTTGGGGTTCCAACTTCCAACTCTTGATTTCGGAAAGACTTGGTCCATGCCGTGCCGCCTTGGCATTCCGCCGATGAGCTGTGATGCAGATCTTGCAGATCAACCTGCTGTCGGTGACGTCGGGACTCCGTGGAATACGTGAAACCACCAGATATCATCACTGGGAAGTCATGGAGGTTTCTTAAGTGAATAGTGGGGGTTCCAAGGAAAACCATTGTAGTTTCAATCCTAAGTCATGATCTAATTTTAGGACACCTCCATGTATTATTCTAGCAAAATCTTACCCATATTCCAAGGCTGTTCATATTCCATGCCAAAATAGCTCCGGAAGTTTTGAAAATAATGAACGACCTTTGATGGTGAGAATGAGGTTGTGTGACCCTTGTCAGGCCCACCTTTTCCCTTGTCACGTGCTGTCATGTCCAATCGCACATGTTTAACCCCGCTAAGATCATTTGAGTCCACAGCTTCTCAAGCAATGATGTCTTGAATAAACATAAAGTCTTGTTTCTGCCATCAATCATCAAGTTCTCTCTAGGATCTTTTAAGACCATTGGATAAGCTGTTGAGCTTATTTTTTTGACGCGTTTGGCTGGCGGTTCAGCTGCCGAATCCGTAAGCTGGGCCAAGTCTGGGTTACGCTGTTCTTCCTCGAACACAAATGGTATCATATTTCCACTTAATAGACAGTTACATTGAGTAGGATGCCACCCCTGGAGTACGATGCCCCCCTGGTATGCGTTGCCAGTCCTGCATGTGGGATTCTCAAGCATATGTTGACATTTTTTTTGATCAAATTGGGGTCACAAATTCCATTCCATATACCTACAAAGCATCACAAACCATCCTGCACGACTAACATCACAACCGAAGATTTCCACCACAGGTCCGAAGTATCAAAATTTGATGGAATACGATTGTATGCGCGACTCTTCAAAACGCTGGAAAAACAACGATTTCCCCCATATTCCATATTATCATATTCCAGAGCATTTTACCTCCGAAGAGAAAAAACATAAAAAAAGAAACATCTTCAGATTCATTTAAAA